CCCAGCCAGGATCTGTCTTTCATCCTGATGGATGCTGTCCTGTTTTTTCCAGCTTCCCTTGTAGACCCCTCCAGCAGATACAAATTTATCCCTCTCTTGTGCTTCCAATCTTTTGTATTCTCCTTCTATAACACATCTCTGACACTAACTAGGGAAATTTCTTTTGCTCCTAAAGACTTGATATTCTTAGATTGAATCCATTGGGGACAATCCAAGGATAGTATCTTTATTGTAAGGTTTATGACCTTTTACATCTGCAGTGTTCCTTGTGCCATGTAATATTATACATTACATGTGCCAGGGATCAGAAAACAGATATTTATGGACTCCCATTTACCTACTATACTATATTTTAAAATGTCTTTGGTTTTACATTGTGTTAGGAAATTTTCCCATGCTTATAAGGTAAGCTTAGTGTTTTGAAGGGAAAGATGAAAATCTTCTGAAAGTATTCCACCTTATAATTTAAATACATCTTTTCTAGTTAGATTTTAATTAGAAATTGATTAAGATCAAAGGTAATGCATGAGTGTTTGAAGTCAAAATCTGTAAAATGCTCATTGGTTCAGGTTGTACAAATGCCCCCCACTGTTAGTGGTATTTTTAAACTCAAAGTTTCATACTAATAGTTTCAACTTTCAGATTTATTTTTCAGCTTGTTACATGATTTTTGCTTTCCTGATGCATCATCTCTCACTTTGTTTTTATATTGTTAAGATTACCACTTTGTGGTACAAAACCTTTTTCTTATTTTCCTAAAATCTTTCGACTGTGATTTGTACAGACCCAAAAATGTCCCCATTATGACCTGAAGATGTTTAGACAAAAATGTTTATTTCTAAGTTTAACTCCTATATATGAGTATTTCTAGAAATGCAGTAAAAACTTACACCATTTAATCATTTGTTTAAAATCCTACTGAAAATGCTTGTGAAAAAATACGTATACATATTTTTGTTTGTTTGTTTGTTTGTTTTCTTATATTTTCCAGTTGAGGGAAATTATTAGTATTGGTTGCTACTTATGAGCTTCACATTAATTACAATTACAGTGTATTTTTTTTTCATGTTGATAATTGTGAAAATCATGATTTCATTTTCATGAACCTCACAAATTCTCAGATATATGTATAATTTAGTTGTTTACAGACTCTTGTCAAAATGAACTTCAGTGTGAAAGTGAGCACATTAGTGAAATAGTTACATAATTAGTGAATAATTAAATTTATCAATTGATATATATTAACCATAGAAATCACTGTGTTTTATGCCACTTCAGATTTTCTTTTTAGTTTAATTTTGAATATAATGATTCTGTTAGATTCTGATGTGTTTAGAGATATGTTCCTTTATCATCTATGTTCTGTGAGTTAAATATGTTTTATATCTATGATGGCAAAACTCAAGGGAAAATATTACCTATGTTCCTGTACCAAATGTTGTATCTGAAGGACAAAAGACAACAAATGGCTTTTCCTATCATGTAGTTTATTTTTTCTTTAAAGCTATGTGCAAATACTTTTATACCTGACTCCCTTATATGTATGAATTGATACAGTATCATCACGGGATAAATAAAAAGAAGAGGGATTCAGGAATTTAGTTATTTAAGATTTGACTCCTCGTGCAAAAAAGGGAAAATAATTTACTGTCCATTATATTCTTTCAACTGTATTTTTAGGCATCATTTTCCCCAAAACCTGTAATTACTATTTTATTGGTAAAACCTACTTTCCAGAAAAAATTAATATAATTTTAGTATGTATTGAAATATGTAATGTCATTTTATCGTGACTTCCTATCAGAAACTAAATGAGGCTTCTGCTTATCAGAAACTAAATGAGGCTCATTTTTGCCTAAGTCTCCTCTCATATCTTAGAGATTTCATTACTACTTGTTTCCTTCACCTTACTATTAAGGGATAGAAGCTTAGCAAGTGTCTAATAGTCTAATAGCCAAAATCGCATTAAGCTGTGTGCATTATTTGAAAGAGAGCTAGGACCAGCACCGTCTTGCAGCTAATCTGTATCCAAATGGCACACTTTGTGTCATAAATTCTGATGGGAGGCCAGCAGTTTTATTGAGTAATTCAATGTATTAATTATTGTCTTAATCTTACCTCCACTATATTCTATATTTTCCTGACTAGAGTTTTCTAAATGCTAGTTACACATTTAGAGATTATTTGCTAAATATACTCTCATCTGCCTGTTATTTGGGGCTTATTTCTCCCGAATCTATGGCTCGAGGAGGTAACTTCTTGAATAGCACAGTTGACTGAGATTTGCTAAGATTGTTCTGGGTGGAGAGACAAATCACTTTGGAAACAAATTCTTCTTCACTGTGTATTTTAGATTTTAAAAGTCATGGCAAAAATAAGATTTTTTATTAGAAATTTGCCTCATTGGAAACATATCAGAAATACATTTAGTCTGTAAACACAGTCTGTTGAGTACTTCAGCTGCATCCCCCTAAAGGAAATGTTGTTCCACTTAATCTGTCCTAGTTATGCTTTTGTAGTAATCTGAGAGGAAATGGGAGCCATGCATCTTCCATGTTCTTCCTTCGGAATGCCCAAACCAGAAAGAAGTGAAAAATGTTTTTTTTCTAGACATTGATACAAGAAAATATTAAGAATTGGAAGAAACAAAATAAAGCCAAAGGGATAAACATTAGAAGCTTGCTTAAACAGCTTTGGCCTCCTATAATTGCTTTTCTGTCAGCAGGATTATTAACAATTTTGGACATCTGAAAATTAAATTAACATCCTGAAAATATTTTACAGAATGAGATAGAGCATGATACATGAAACATAATGACCCCACTGAAATTCAGCCAAGCCAGTGCAGCAACTCATTTAGACAGAGAAGACAACTAGTTAATCATCACTGAGCAAATTAGACAGAGCAAATTAGTTTGCCACATTCCACTGTCTTAGCTACCAAAAAGAATATATGCCACTAATTAGAATGAAAGAACGCTGAGCATATGATTATCTATATAGAAAAAGAAAGAAAAACTGTAGTTTGAATTGTTTCTGTCAAAGCTGAAGCCTAGGTTACAAAAGTATAAATTACACATATTGAAGTAGAACAGCTTTAGTGTATTCTTGCATTTTGGCCTAAATATTATAAACATTTTTTACATGCTTATTTAGATTTTGGGGGGGTTGTATACACATACATTCAAACACATGAAATACAAAAACATTTAAAAGTGATCCCTTTAATTAATGATTAAAATAAACATATCATATATTCCTTCCATGATATTTTTTTCCTTTCAAAAGTTTATTGCTGTCGCATGTGAAATAAATATTTGGACTTAGTTTATCACTGGAGATTAATCCAAAATCATATTTTGTAGCCTTAATTAGCATTCATTTGCTTAATTGTCATTCTCAGCCCCATCATTTCCATTTTTCACTAACTTGAACAATGCTATCTTCTGCTGTTTGCACTTTAATTTAAATTTCTATTAAGGTTTATGAACAGTAATAAGGTCCTGTTTGAATATTCATTAGCTTCTGAATTGTGAGCTATGAAAAGGTGCTTTCTTTTACCTTAATGAAACTGGCACAGCATGGGACTGATCAGTTGTGACATTTGATTTGAGGCATCCAGTGAATTTTCTCATTGTTTATTGACACATCTTGTCCAAACAGCTCCCTCGCAAGTGAGCGGAGTAATGAAGGAGAGAGTTCTGCAGCGGAGTGTCGAGCTTTCCTGGCAGGAACCAGAACATCCCAATGGAGTCATCACCGAATATGAAATCAAGTATTACGAGAAAGTAAGTGCTAAGAACAGCTGAAATGTACAACGATGCGCGGTATGTCTCGTGTTATCCGCCTGCACTATAGACTATAGGTCATTATGCCAACTATTTGGAACTACTTCAGAATTCCGAGTTAATTTTAGCCATTTTTTAATAACCTTCTCCCTGAATCTGTAGTTCATTACAATTATGATCCCTGCATATTATGTTTCTGTGGCACACAAATGAAAATACTCCACCATCGCTATATTTATTTACTCAGTATTTAATGTCATAATAATTAGGTAAGGTCAGACACATTTAGGATGATATGACTAAAGACAAATATAATAATGGGTTGAAGGATATTTTAGCACCACAGAAAACACATAGACTTATACGTGTTGTTAAATTGTTCTCTTTAGGATGTCTCTAGGGCACTTAATGATTTACCTCAGTTATATGATTTAGGTGAGCATGATGATGGCCTCTTAATAAAATGATTTGGAAAAATAAGAATATTTCTGTTGTAAATATGTAGTATTGTCCAAACTTTAGAATGAGGTGATATTACACACCTTTTAATTTCTTCTCAAATGTGTTTCAGGTATTTTAGACTAGTCACGTTTACCATTTCTTTACCAAGTGCTGACCCTGAAATCTTATGGTGACTATATTTTAGTAAACAGCAGCTTAGCCAAATGTCTGATTGCATTTAGATCTAATAAAATATGAACTAGGCATAATATATCAGTTATGCCTAGTTCATTTATGTTCCATCTAGAGAAAAGGGCAGCAAAGAGAGAGAGGGGGAAGAGGAGAAAATTCACTGTTCATAAATTATTATCTAGGTTCCACCTCACAGCAAACACTATTTCCATGTTTGAAATATGGAAACCATTAGCACTAACATTACTAATAGTAGTTGTAATAATACATGTTACTATTATTGACTTAATAGAGTTAATTGACTGTTATAATAGGCTTTTTAATCATTTAGGCCATTTTTCAAAATAGGAGCCTAAAGCTTTTGGAAAACTTTGGGGATGAATTGACTTGAATGAGTAAATTAAATTCACGCTGTACA